AGAGGAATTAGTGACATTGGCTCCAACACTTTTCACACCCAAAATGCAAAACAAGGGAAGAAATTATTCAGATGCTCAGATTTAAGTGCTGGAGGGGAGCCAGCATGCCCAGCCCTGCACAGACAACACTTATCTGAATTGCAGGGCAGCCCTCTGGGTCCAAAAAATGCCATAAAATCAACATGTCTTAAACAGGTGGGGGCATGAAACGGGCAAATCCAAGGAAGCCTCAGATAATAGCTGATAAAAATGCCGAGATTTTTAATGAAGCACCAGTAGTGTTCATCAGCTGCTTTCTCAACACGCTGCCTTCATCTCAGCATTCAAAGGGTCAGTAAACAGCAATAAATCTCTGGGAGTAGCAGCCTCCCGCCCAAAACAAGGGGTTCCGCATATGTTCATTCTTCAGGCAGGACTACAAAGATAACTGGCTGCTGCTCCCCACGGAGCAAGAACAGAGATTACATTAAGTCGGAAAAAATAGAAATAAATTAGACACCATGAGACTGATTCTAATCTCACCCAGCCCAGCCGAGCTCAGAGTCCACTGATTTACACCACAGCAAAGCACAATAAAAATTTGTCTGTATATCTAGGTTTGTGTAACACAATTTGGAACAGTAGCTGTTCTGTCCTGATATGATAAAAAATTATTGCACAGGCAACATATGCTATCTACAGAAACATGAATAAATTACATTATGAAGGCCACCAACACTTCACATCCAATTTAGTTACAGTATATCTCAGCTCCCAAATGTGTCAGCATGGCTAGCTGTAAACTGGCAAAGAGAGAGGAAAAATGGAGGAAAATAAAATGAAATTTACATCTTAAAAATTGACTTCACCATGACTAGTCATGATCAAATTCATGCAATTGCTTAAATATGTTTGAGATACACGTTTTACTCTGAAAAGTATCTCGCTTTTCCAAAACTGATTATCTGGATTTATCCAATATCCTTCACAATACAGGCCTAGCCAATTAACAGCCTGCACTAAAAGATCCTCAGGAAATTAAGTAATGAGGTGTGGGTTTTGTCTATTTGAAGCGTTAGACACAAGCATCCTTTTGGTTTTGTTGGTCTGTATGGAACCTTGTTGAGAAAAACAAGGATATCGTACGTCAGCTGTAATGGCTGGGAATATACAGGCAGTCTTGAAAAAGCCACGTGCAAGTTTTCTAATGATCATAACAAAGCATTTACATTACCTAATCCGCTGCTAATTCTCTTAATGACAGGATTGAATAAAACTAGTTTGGAATAACAGACTTAATTTAGAAACCTACATTTCTGAAAACATGGCATTCAAAATGTCAAAATGTTAGAAATAAATATGCATACAGCTGACAAATACCTTATTTCTAAAGAGTTCAAAAATTAATTTTATTTCCAACATCAATGAAATATCCAGCAGCCAAATCCCGGTCTAATCCCTGCTTAGCTAGGGAGGGGAAAAAGCCTCTGGGAAGCTTTTCCCCATTTTCCAGCCACTGCTCAGACAACCACAAGCTACAGATGTGCACTCAGAGGCAGATGTTTCCAAGCGATGGGCACTCTGCTAGTCCAAGACACATCAGAGTCCTCAAAAGCATCCAACGTTGAAAGACAAAAGACTGGTGGTCCGGTTTTGACTCCCCACTCTACACGTATTGCACCAGCAGAGAAGGGACCAGTTGGTCTTTCTGCAAGTTTCCATGGGACAAGCGGTTTCTTTAGTCGTTCTGCACCATTTCTGTGGTTTAGGGAAGTTCAGTCTGGCTCTGCTCCAACATGGAATTATACAGTATTTATTACTGAACTTTTTCTAAGTTCAACTTAAACTGATCTAAACCTGAGACGTGATTTCAGCCTTGCCATACATCAATTAAATTTCCCCCAAGTTCACCAGGAGATGTGACCTTCCCCATCACAGGCAAATCTGATCTACCTTTTTTGGATGAGAAGGGAATGCTGTCAAGGACACCTGGGTAGCACTCTCCATTTAAATTACACGATGCAATTAGAATAATACCAAACACTTTAAACGGCAACCAAAAAAAAAAAGCAATTGAAGATCATACGCGTGACTATAAATCGTTTGGCAGGTGTCTAGCAGAAAGATAAGCATCATTAATCATGAATAAATTTCCTTAACATAAACGTAAGCAGTAATTATGCAACTGTTTGCCTACTACACAGAGCACAAAGCCATCGCTTGTGATATTCCAAGATAATCTGGATGTTTATAGCATACTCTTTATCCTCAGATACCAGCAAAATCTGCCTTGCCTTCTCAGAAAGCTGTTACCCAAAAAGCTAATTCTATTCTGTCCTAAGCCAGCAGAATGCCTGGCCTGTCGTAGCAACAGCTGATCAGCACGGACATGCACTGCAGACCATCCCTGGGGGAGATAAAACCACTAATGCTGGTGCTACAGGTACAGAGTTTAACAAAATGAACACATCTGCACAGTCACATACATCAAGCTAGGAGCAGACCTTCAGATATACTTATGAGAACAGTAGCTTGATTTTCTATACCTTCCACTTCTTCATCTCCAAACCTCAATTAAGAATATTTACTCTTCTTCCAGGAGCATTTTAGAAAATCCTGGATAAAGCATACAGCATGAATGAGCTAAATTTATATATCAGGTTGACAATTGCTCCACAGTATTTTTGTTCTAAGTGGTCACTCATGAGGAATCAAAACATTAAGCTCCAGAATTCTTTGGGAATTACCTACAATAACTGTAAGGGTAAATAATGCCTGAAAGAACATCTGATGTTAACACATCTGCACACGGAAGATAACTCCAAAGAACCGGCAGATGGTCCAAGCCAGCCTGCTTTGGGCTGGGAGTAAGCCTGCGCAACCTCCAGATCA